TGACAATTTTAATGGATATTATTTAATATATTTATATCTTAAGTATTATGGACATAATATATTGGATATATTAATATATAGTAAAATACATGTATTTACAATAACATACACCATAAAGATATATAAATGGTATGTCTAAAAAGTGGGTACTCAACAATACTGTTTTTGCAATTTTAGAAGTTTTTAAAAGCTATTTTAGCTGTTGTTACTTAAGATTTCTGTCTGTATTTTCTGTCTGTCTCTCCTGTTGTCATGCTGATCCCCAGGTACAAGGACCATGAGTAATTTTGGACCAACCTAAGGTTAAGTGAAGTTTCAGATGTAGTTGATTTGGAGGTGAGAGAGTTCATTTATGTAATAAGCAATCATTTACATGTATATCTGTCAACTTTAGTCTTCTAACATAGAAACAGCTTCTAGAAAAATTCCTAGTACATATTGTACTTGTTTAACAACTGTTTTTAATAATGTACCATACATGTTTATCAAAGGTAACATTGTCTTATAAATGTGGCCTATGGTGCCTAGCATATAAAGAACTTTGTTAGTAGAAGAAACAAAGATTTAAATATAGACTAATTTCAGGAAAATTCTTCAATGCATCAAACACATAAAATTATATGGAGGGAATGTGCTTTATTTCTGGTTAAAATACAAGTTCTTTCTTTGCAGCGGTATTCTATCTTATGCAAACAAGGCCATTATAAGGTACCTTGTATTTATTTGTTTTCCTTTGGATGGGAATTGTGCAAAATAGAATTTATCAGCCAGTGTGTGTTTGTAAAGAGCAAGCCTATAATAGTGCTATAAACAATAAAGGTGTCTTTGAGGGGATCCACATGTTTTATGCATTCTAATGTGCCTTTCCCCCAGCACTGTCAATAGAAAAAATGTGTAATAGAAAGAAAAATTTCTAAACTCTCAATGGAAAGATATGAATATCCATCAATTGTGCAGGTGGAAAAGGTGAATTGTATTTTTTTTTCTATCTCTCTCAATATGTACAGAGAATTACAAAGCAAACTTCCTTCTAGGGGGCAGACACGGAGCAAACTGGCAATGTGAATTAAAATATAATCAAAGAATCACTGGAGAGCTATGGTGTCATTTCTCTAAGTGGTCAATTGTCAGCTTCTTAAAATTGTAAATTGCCATTTGGATGATTTCCTATCCTTTGTCTTAAACTTTTTTATTTATTTATTTATTTTTGCTGTCAAATGCAAGTATCTTTTATTTCAGATGTTTTTCTTTTCTTTATTAAGAAATTTTTTTCATTCATTGTACAGAACAATCAACTCCTCCTCTTCCCTCCTCCTGCCTCCCCAGAGCCTCCTCCCCCCAACCCACTCCCCACTCCCCCTCACAAGAAGCTAAGGCCTCCCGTGGGGAGACACATCCAGTAGAGTCAAGTCCAAGCCCTTCCCCTTTCTTAAACTTCTTAAAGGAATCCCAAATATTGTTTATGCTCTAGGATCCTTCATGGAAAGATTCTACCCTACAGGAGGGAAGAACTCACTGGTAGAACTCACTGGTATCCAGAGTCTTCACTGGAGAGGCAGGTGGGTAACCAAGGATTTAGTGGTATGCTGACTGAAGATATTAGATATTTGTAGACAATTTTTAGTGCAGAGCTTAGCAGACCTACCCTTCAAGGTAAAATGCAAAATAAGCGTCAAAATTGATAAACCAGTTGATGAAGGGCTGCAGAGCTGGCAAAACAGATGGAATGGGGTCCAACAAAACAAAGTTGCTGGATGCCTAGAAAAGAGAATTGTGCATAAGTACAAGGAACACAAAAGACAAATTACAATAATAGAATGAGCAAGAACTGCTCAGAAAAAGTACAGAGAACCAGGTGTAAGAATACACTTGGTGCAGCACAGATCTGTTGCTGTGGGTTGTCTCTCTGTGTTGCTCTAATTGGCTGATAAATAAAGCTCTTTGGCCAATGGTGAGGCAGAATAAGGTTAGGCAGTACGTTCCAACTGGAGAGAGAGAAGAAAGGAGAGTGGGGCCGACACCAGGAGCCAGATGTGAAAGTACCGGTAAGCCACAAAGCCATGTGGCAATGTGTAGATTAACAGAAATGGGCTGAGTTCATTTTTAAGAGCTAGCTAGCAAGAAGCCTGAGCCAATAGGCCACAGAATTCACAAGTATTATTAAGCCTCCGTGTGATTATTTTATAAGCAGCTGCGGGACCACAGGGCCTAGCGGAGAAACAAAGGGTCCTGGGGCCAAGTGGAACCAAAGAAACTTACAGCTACAATCTGTGGCCTATTACTTCTGTCCAAACTCCTCCTTTTCAGAGATTCATGGAACCAGTTCAAAGAAAGCGGTACCAAGAGGCCAAGGGCACCGCTGGCCTGGGTTCGTTGTCATGTTGGCTGACTGAAGATAGAGCTAAAAGGATGTGGGGATGAAATGAACTAATATGAGGAAATGAGAAGAACACTGGTAATTTAGAAGAAGACAGCATGAGCAAACAAGTCATCTCCACTGTGCACAGGGGAGAAGCACCCACATAGAGACAGAAATTCTTCCAGCTCTACCACTTGTCCACTCTCTGATTCTCTCAATCCGTGTGCAATACTCTGATTTTGCTTTTACAACATTCTTCAGGCAGGATGTCCAACCACACAAGAGCTCAGAGGCTACCAGTGTTTTCCAATAGAAGTCATGGCAAAGGGAACAAATAAATCTTAGACGGACACGTCAGTTTCATTTTACTGCATTGTTCTTGCCAAGATATAAACATGCCATTGTCATGAACAAATATTAAGCTAAGTAATTTACACACATATAATGTGCATAGCAACACTCAGAGATAGATATTATTTTACTCTTACAAACTGAAATGAGTCGAATCTAGAAAAAAAAAATTACATGTGCTTAAGGGGGTGTGGTGGTTTAAAACAAAATGGCCCATATAGGAGGTGGCACTATTAGGAGGTGTGGCTTTGTTGGGGTAGGTGTGGCCTTGTTGGAGGAAGTGTGTCACTGTGGGGGAAGGCTTTGAATTGCTTCTGCAGCCCACGGATCAAGATGTAGCACTCTCAGCTCCTCCAGTACCATGTCTGCCTGCATGCCACCGTGTCCCACCATGATGATAATGGACTGAACCTCTGAACTGTAAGCCAACCCCAATTACATGTTTCCCTTTATAGGAGTTGCTGTGATCATGGTGTCTCTTCACAGCAATAGAAACCCTAAGACAGTAGGCATGTAGCTCAGAGATAGAACATTTGCCTGACATACACAAGGTTCAGAGTCGTGTTTAATTTCAAACACATTAAAACAAAGAAGTACTTACGGTCACAGAAACATTGATTGGTGGAATTTAAAGTAGTTGTTCAAAATACAGTTTTTCTTTAACCAATATCAAAATATCATATTACTATACCATATCCCATCGATATGTACAATTAAATCAATATAAAAATTGAATACCTACATCATGGGCCTGGGGATGTTTCTCAGTGGTAGAGCATTTGCCTGGCATGTGCAAGTATTTGCGTTTAGTCCTGAGTGTACCATCACTTACACATGTACACACAGGACTCTAATTAAACTGGAAGCAAACAATCTCTGTGTGTAGTTTTCTCACTTGAAGTCATCAATGAGGTGGCGTTTCAACTCTTCATGCCTTTTACATTCACCCATGTATGTCTGTATCTATAGAGAAGGCATTCCATCCGCTCACTTCTGCAAGCAGAAAATGCTTCAATGCTTTATTTTGAACCCTGCTCTTTTATGTTTCTTGTCAAAAAGAAACAACCAGATCTTGATACATATATCATCATGCTCCAGCAAAATCTATAGACACTTGTTATCCATGTTTTCTGTCCCCACTCAGAGAGTAATGAACATGCGTTTCATCAATGAACATCCAATGACTTTCAGCATTCATTTCGAACCTGTATCAAGTCGCCCATTAGAGACAATCCTCCATGCCGACTGGAGATAGCTCTGCTGCTGTTGAAATATCAGTATCTTGCCAGTTTAGTGCACTTACGCATGTATGAAAAATTGCTACGACACTAATTTCTATTAGGAACTAATGGCCCTTGAAATTTTTTGTTGTAGCTTAAAACTGTCTTTGAGTTAGAAGACTATGGATTTCTCCCCACTTAAAATATCAAAAGTTGAAATCATGTTGTTTTTACCATCCAACATGTAAATTATCTATTGAAACTGTGTTTGAGTTAGCGGCCACTAGAGTTCTCTTTTTATATTCTAACTTAAAAAAAAAAAAAAAAAAACTTAAATTTGTCTTGTATCTTTAACATATGACATAGAGATTACTGCATCCACATGCAAAGAACAGTAGTAACTTACAACTGAAAAAGAAATTTGGAAAATCTGGACATTTTGTTGTTTTCTTGAGGTCTTACTATATACCATGGTGGCCTGAACTCACTATATAGACCAACCTGACTGCAAACTTGTAGTTATCTTCTTGTCTTTATCTAAGGTCAAGCACTTATAAACCCTTGAAGCAAACAGTTCTCTGAGATTCTTATGAATTGTAACCTAGGCTCTGAGGCCATTTAAAAATGTTTAAGACTGCCAGGTGGTGGTGGCACACGTCTTTAATCCCAGCACTCGGGAGGCAGAGCCAGGCAGATCTTTGTGAGTTAGAGGCCAGCCTGGTCTACAGAGCGAGATCCAGGAAAGGC